CTGTTATTTTTAGCTTCAGTTGAACTGATTTACTCTCCAGCACACTAGAATAACCATAAGTTGTTGTCATAAAAAATAGCTTTTGTTCAGATTAGCACAGAGCCTACAACAACAAAACAACAGATTTATAGAACTATTCAAATGATTCTACTTAAAGGGACAGTTCTGAATTTTGGACATAGGGTCTCATTTCCTAGTGAGTCTTGGAGACGTGTGGAGACACTTTTTGTAATATTCCATCCAGTCCTTGTATTTGCAGAGGTCACTGGTGCTAGGCTAGTGCGTGTCAATGGCCATAGTTATGCTGCCACTAAAAACAGCCGATGTAAATGTCTGTGTTGATAGAATAATGTTTGAAATAAAGCTAATCTTGCATCACATGAATCACCGCATGTTGAGGGACTATTTTTTTATATATCAGTCCGCCGCTGCCAAGCTTTCTGTCAGGAAGTACAACTCGCTGCTGCTGTTCAGACATAAATCCTTCAAATGCAAAGTTGGTTTTAATTCTAAAATTATTCTATCAACAGACATTTACATTGACAAAAACTTAAAACTTAAAACAAAAACTTAAAACTTAACAAAAATTATTCAAGATTTGTGTGTTAAACGTGTGAATGAAACAAAACAGGTCTGTTTTTGATTAGGAAACAACTTTATGATCAGATCAGATCAGATAGATCAAATGTTGACCCTTTAAAAGTTTTGATTTAGATTTTTAGTGGGTCATGATGGAGCAGGATCAACAAGTAGACCTCAGCCAAGTCATGGTTTAGTCCAGTATATGGTATATTAGGCCATTTGGGAAACTGCAAAAGCAACTGCACCTTAAGGCCATAAAACCCCATGTTTATGTGTGATGCCTCTTTTCTTTGGATTGTCTAGTTTCATGGTGCACAGGGGCCAGATGAATGTCATTATTTGTGGAAAATAAAAAGACTATCTTTTCTTATACCAGTTTAAGAGTCCATAGTATATACATTTTCCTGCCTTGAGGTTGTAAAGCCAACCTATTTTGCAAAATCGACTTTTCAAATCTTTAACCATGTTATAGTTGTTTCACCTTCTCATTTACCCTCTCCTAGCTGTATTTAACATGATTTATGCATGTTTGCGTCATCTTTGTCTGTTTTCAAGACATTATTCTAATCCATTTTCACCACCATAAACATATGCACACTGTTCTGTATTTTGTTCTCCAATTAAAATTTTCGTAGGATTCGTCAGCATTGCATCGTCATTTTGGTGTACTTCTCACTAGTTTGATGTACAGCTATCCATCGGAGGTGCCAACAACTTTGCAGCTCTATGTTGTGATGGCGTTGACCCTTCTCCCATTGACCACCACAGTTTTCTAACACGGAAATCAAAAATGTTCAATGGATAACATAAAGCTGGACAATTGATCACATTGATTAGATCAATTCTGTTTTTTAATAAACAAGATTTAGAAAAATTGCTAAATTGTGAAACGTATGTGAAAATTATTATTAAATAAGTTTACTTCTAATTTTTTTACTTCCAAAGTAGGTTATTGTGGAGTTACAATTGGATATTTATACAAATGTAATTTAAGGCAATTTCTTAAATAATACCATAAGAATGACAAGAATGAAAACGTAAAGAGCTTTTCCCAGTTTGAAAGACAAGGTGATTTTAACTGTTCGCTATCAGCTCTCTGATAACATGATGATTCATGGGTGTCATAGGCACCTTGACATTAGGTGCACTGAACATGTGTCAAAGATGTCTGACACATCACAGGCCACGTCTATAACCCAGTTTTTTTTTTTGTTTTTTTTTTCTCTCTACGTCGTCCTTTATGCATTTTATACCTGTCAGGAGCAGTTGGTGAACACATGTATGAATCTTGGGTTGGCATGGGTTTCAAGTGGTGTGTACAGGATTGTTGTCATAGCAATAAACAGCCATATGATCAAAAGTCCTCAAAATGGCGTCAGTAACTCCAAAACATAATATTTTTTTGTTTAAAGCTGATGGGTGAAACTGGATCACCTTGACAAACCCCTCTCATAACTTAGAATAACATGTTAATTCCAAAAACAAAGCCACCACCTGCTCTGGAAATCAAACCTGTCACCCTCTTGCTGTGAGACGAAACAGCTAACCACTCTGCCATTGCACTGTCTGTATTAAACTGTATCCATGTGTACCATTTCTATCTCAAATCATTATAGATTTTATGATTACCGTCTATCCCAACACATTTATCCATCTTCTTTTCATCTAATTCCCCTTCCATAAAAGTAAAACCTGTCTCGCTCTCCTCAGACATGCATTAATAATAGCTTTGTGTAATTAATGGCTTATTTTTTAAACCCTATACTTCCCCGCTCATGTATTTTTCACACATTACACTTGTTCCATTAATTAGGTTGTTAACTTTTTTCTCCGCAGACATGATCGCGCATACCAACCACATCACACCAGGAGAGACGGCCCGCCCCAGCCCTGATCATGAATTACTGTGGCAGTGAAGACAGAAGCGGCCCGTAGTGGACTCCAGACACTTTCAGATCTTAACGACTAACCATGAGCGGCGAAGAAAGGCAAAGGGCGGCGAAAAGTGCTTTTACGGTAACTCAAATTTATCTACATATATAAGCAAGTGTTACCTATAATATCTAGATCATTTTTAATAATTTAAAATGTAAAAGGGCCTCTATTACACTATTTTCTGAAGTTATAATGTTGTTACCTCGTTAAAAACATACTCAGAGTTGTGTTTTGTTTCATTCAGGAAGTAAAAAGTAGCTGTTAACTTAAAGGTTGTATGGAGGATTTTTTTTTTGTTTCAAATTGTCAGTGAATGTTTAAAATACCATTACAGAGATGCAGCAGTTTTGTAATTATGATGACCAAAAAAAAAAAAGAATGAAAATCTATCAACCGTGGACATAATGAGGCCAGATAAACATCAGCCAATACAAAACGAGGCTCCCTCATTTTCTATTGGCTGTTAGGTCGTCAATCAAACTCCCTACGTTTCTAGTGTAACTGACTCGCCAGCGCGCGGGGATTACGTGGTTTATGCGGCGGTTCTTCGAGGCTTTTTTAATCTGTAGCGTCCTCGCAGTTCGCACAAAGTTTGTTGCGACGGCGGACGAGAATCCACGACCAGTTCGCCACAAAATAAAGTCGGTTTTTGAAGTCGTGAAGAGAAGGGAAAAAGGAGCAAAACAAAACTGAGGTGAGTCTTGGAGATTTCTTACAGCGACGGCGCGACTGAAGCGGACGAAGGATTTTATTTCTAGACAGGTCACTTCAACGGGAATTCTTGAACGCGCACCGGCTGTAAACAAGCGTGATTTCTAGAGTAAAGAGGAGGGAGGAGGAGGTGTTTCTACTGAAGGAGCTGTGGAGGAGGAAGGTGGTGTCACACACGGACAACATTTGAAAAAGGACTGTCGCTGTATTTCTCTTCCCTTAAAAAATCCTCTATACAACCTTTAAGTGCTACCGTTTTGTGACATCACAAGGTGGAACAGAGCATTTTGAGTAACCCTTTATTATTAATCTATCTACATCTGAAACAAAACATAAGTCCAAGTAAGTTTCTGACGAGGTAACAATATTATAACAATTTTGTGTCTTTAACCGTGCTTTTAAGTGAAGTACAGTTTCAAGTGGATTGAAAACTGCTTTGTTGCCATGGTGCTGTGATTTTATTTATTTATTTATTTTTTTATCAGTAAATTTACCAGTCTGATAATAAAAAGTACTACAAAAATATGCCGAAGTTACTCCTGAGAGTATTTATAGCCAGTTTCTGATCAGCATTTGCGTAATAAACTGTAGTCTTAAAGTTGACCTATATATCTTTTCTTGGGCTACGTTTATATGATGACGAACCTTTTCGGGAGGAAATCTGCATGCATACGGTGACGCAAAAGTGTGTGGAATTCGATTGGGTATGCATGCCAGGCGGCTAGGTGGTGACGCTAGGTGGTGATGTAAATGTGTACGCGACGTGAGCAATTCTGAGTTTTGCATCTTGGGTTTTTGCGATTTTAAGCCCCAAAAACTCCGTCATCGTCTAAACCAGGGGTGTCCAAACTTTTTTCATCAAGGGTCACATATACTAAACACAGATGAAGCAGAGGGCTGATCGAGGGCCGTAGACTGGAGCTCAATACAGTAAATAATTGAAATATGTGCATGTTTAACACGTTAGAATAAACCATCAGACTTTATTCAGGCTAAGATCCTCAAAATCACACACTAAATATTCAATACTAGCTTCAAAAACTTACCATAAAAAGTTATTTTTTAATTGATGCAGAGTAATTTGGGCCAATTCGCCTTAAAGCATGAGGGCCAAACAAAATTGTCAGAGGGCCGCATTTGGCCCACAGGCCATAGTTTGGACATGCCTGGTTTAAACGAAAGGCACTTCCGATAAAATATTTGGACATTTTAACTCGCAAGCGTTCTCATGTAAACAGGCCCTAGAAGAGAGAGTTCCATATGCCCATCCTGTCCCTGGAATGTTTCACAGTATGGCATTAGACGTATCTATCTTTGTAAGATCAAGCAGTCAGTGCCAACAGGCCATGTTATAGGTCTGATCTGTGGAGAGGTGACCCTACTCTTAGTAAGAATGCATATTTTTGAGTAACAAACACCAATAATTGAATAAATGCAAAAAAAAAAAAAAAAAAAAAGTCCAATAATCTTTGGAACATTTCAGGTGAAGCAACATGTCCATGGTGGTGAACCCTCCATTAGAAACAGAAAACAGAAAAAGACACCTTTAAGACTACAACTAGCTATAAATACTCTCAGGAGTTACTTTATTGTATTTTTGTAGTACTTTTCATTATCAGACAGGGAAAAGTATTGACAGAAAATGAAAAAAATAACCACAATAACAGACACTCTGTAATTCTTGAGACTTTATATGATTTTTGAAATTTGAAATCCAAACCCAGTTTTGTATCTAGCACTTTTTATAACCAAGAAATTAACATTTGCCACAGATGCCCTGGGGCAGCTGGCAGAAGCGTGGTTACCAGTCTATGCCTATGTCCGCTCTGATCCAGGTTAAATACACAATCAAAAATTCAAGTTTTTCCAATACATTCAGGGATTTTGTTAAACACATGTCAAAACAAAAGCAAATCCTTGAAATCTGACTCCTGTGAACGTGTAGTCATGTTCGAATGTTGTTACTTCATCAAAAACATACCTGGAGTTGTGTTTTGTTTCATTCGCACGTGCATTATTGAACAGTATTGAACACGAAAATAAGTTGTAGCTTTTTAAAAAATATTTGAGTTTTTTGGTTCAGGGAGTCCAATATCCTCCGGTGCACCGAGAAGCAAAGAGCATAGCCTCAAATACTATCTACTGTACAACTCTATCTTAAAAGTTAGGCAAAGTTAGGACTACCAATTTGATTTTAAAACAGTATATTGTGTATGGAGTTTAAAGGGCCCATATTATGCTCTTTTCTTATCTATGATCTATGTTTCTGATCCATGACATAATGTTGTTTCCTCATCAAAAACATGCCAGAGTTGTGTTTTTTTTTCATCCACATATGTCTAACATACAAATCCTGCATATTTAGGCTATTGCGATGTCATGTGGTAATACAGGAAGTGCTCCACTGGGTTTTTAAACTCCATACCCCTTCACTAGAATCATCTGGATGATTTCAGACCTGGAATTCCCAATCTCAAAGGTAAAATGTAGCTGTTGACTTGAAAACTCCCGGTTCATGACATCACAAGGTGGAACAGAGCATTTTAAGCTTTGGAGATATAGACAGACTAATAATAAAGGATGACAAAATGTGTGAATCAAATAAAACACAACTTAAGACATTCTTTCCTAAACCAGTTGGTACGTTTCAGTGTGGTGCTTGTAATCACTGTGCCCATATCAATAAATGTATACATTTTTTAAAGACTCAAGCTCAAAAAAGCTTTACATGTCGCCATTTTGTAAATTGTAAAACTACACATATCATCTGACGGTTAGGGCGTACAAAATGGAGACTCAAGGATTGCTTTTGTGAACAAAAAACGCCATTAGAACTACAAATCCCAATTACCCAATGGCTCTACATTTTCATTCTTCCACTCAATGTAAAGTCAGCCTCTTAAACATCATGATCATTGAGGTAGTCCCTCCAAACATCAGAGGGGACGATAGACTCCGTCAGTTGTTTAAAAAAGAAACCTTCTGGATTGTAACCTTAAAGGCCACATGACTTCCGGACCTTAATGATGATTTAGATTATTCTGTGTTCCTCTGAAACTTAACTCTCTTTGCATTTCTTTAATGTAGTTGATGTTTTTGACCTGTGATATTTAATTGTATATTAATTATTATATATGTGATGGATACACCTACTTACCTCCAGCATGTCCTGTTTATCTTGTTGCTGTTCGGTGGGTCTGCTCAGCACCTATATATTCCTTATGGTTGGCTAATCTTTTTTGTATTTGTTTTGTTACCTGGCCCCGAAGGGTTGACCAGGTTTTGTATTCACCTTGTGTGTCTGTGTGTCTGTAAACCCGCGATAATTCCACCATTTATAGACCGATTGTCACCAAATTTGGTACGTGGGTCAAGCCCCCAAAAGTTTGGTGATGATCTGAGGTCATTTGAGGTCACACAGGTCAATTGAAAGGTCACGCCATTATAAAGGATTGGCAAGTTCGGCGATTTCTGAACCATCTGCGGCCTAAAATATTCACCCAATCATCACATAAGTTGGCACACACATAACCGGGGTACACTGGATGTTACAGGTTGAAACCGGTCAAGGTCACTTGAAGGTCAATGGAACCAAGGTCAAATATGCGTTTTTGGTCATAACTCCGCAAAGGATCGAGCTCAAGCAATGGGATGATCTCAAAGTCTCAGAATAAAGTCTTTCTTCCCAATATTCAGTTTTGATGATATCAGTTAGAAATGGAAATTATAACAGTTCCTTTATCTTTCAGTGTATGCCGTTAAAATTCTAATTGGAATGAAAATAATTTTCATTTCCTCTTTTTCTGGTGATACACAACACACTGATTTACAGTCACAGAACTAACATTTTGGTTACACACTAGTAATCACAGACATTCTCATGTGTGACCAATATCACACAAATGTTCATGGGCCTGTACAGATACACACATTACATTGTGGATATAATGATCATGTAATATGGGCTGGACTCCTCATAAGCTGCTTCTGTGGTGATGAACTGACCCCACTGATGCCTCATGGGGACCAGGTTGCTCTCTCTGATTGAGCTTGTATAGTCATGTGATGTTGTCATGATGATTGATAATTAATTGTATTTAATGGCACCTGTGTGTTCTACCATTTTGCCTTGACGTAGACCATCTTGCTGGTCGAAACACACCGGCGTCCCTTCATGTAATAAAGGACTTTTAATATATTCAGTCGGAGTGCCTCGGGTTTGTACCTTGCCCACTTTTACATTTTTCAATAAGGGCAACTTTCTGTTAAGGTATGTTTTTGATAAAGTAACAACATTCTAACATGGCTAAAATCCCACAAGAGTCAATTTTGCGTAATATAGGACCTTTAAACATGCAGGATTTGTGAGTTAAACATGTGTAGATGAAACAAAACACAATGTTAAGTATGTTTTTGATGAAGAAACACTCTAAAGTAGATTAAAAAATTAACATAATATAGGCCCTTTAATATTTATTTGACAGTATAAATGAGATTTAGCCATAAAAATTACACAGAAAAGCATACATTTTACATTGGAACATAAAGTGCTGCATTAAATTCCACTTTGAGAGTGTATAAAGCCTTATCACTTTTTTCCCTCGTGCAGGCCTATCTGGCGGTGGTGCTGCTGCTGCTGTCTGTGGTTCCTGGAGGGTTTCTGGGCGACGCCGGGTGCAGCGGGGGGATCCTGGACGGGCCGCGCTTGACCCGGGGGGACTCTCATGTACACAGGCGCCTGAAGAGGGGTTGGATCTGGAAGCAGCTGTTTGTCCCAGAGGAAGACCCCACGCCGAGAGTCATTGGCCAGGTACGAGGCCCATTCAGCACCGGGCGCCCTTCCATGTCCTTCACGGCGGACTGGGCTTTAAAAATGCATGGGTTCTGCCTCTCTGTGAGAAATGGCAAGTCCCAAAAGTGATGTATCAATGTAACAGTACGAGAAATACAGTAGATAGTGTGAATGTAAAAGTGCCACTGGGGAAAGACAAGGATCCCAACAGTGGTTTTGTTCTGTCTGACCTGTTCCAGTATAGACTTCCAAATTTAGATATCAGTTTTTCACAAATCTATGATTAGCTAAGATTAATTAAAGAGGGGGTATTATGAATAAATTATTTTCATTTCATTTGTTATAGTGGAATACCCTCATCATCATCATCACATTACCAGATTTATAACATCATTCTTTGGATTAGAGACAGCGGGTTTGATGCTGTTTGCACACGGTGATCACACTTTATGTTATGTAAAATTTTATCTCATTTATACGATACATTCGAGAGGCCATTATTCACTAATTTATTTGGATTTGGGCAGAGGAGTTCATTTCCACAGGCCTATGTCTTCTATCAAATAAGGCTTCCACTATATAAGAAAAAGAAATTACTAGAAACACTGAAATCTTTATAATAAATAGACTTAAATATATAATACTTAAAGCTAATATCATAGGCTACAGCAAGGATCACCAAACTTTTTTTCTCTGGGGACCACATTATGGCTCCTGACTGTGATGGGGGGTCGGGGTCGGGTTGGCCGTATAACAGAATTGTATGACCCTGACGACGCAGATTATATTCTTTGAAAACTGCCACACTTTCTTTACATATCAGACAAACTGAACAGTTTTTCTTACACCCAACAAAAAAATAATCGGTTGTCCACTGTTCTTTGACTCTGCACTCTCTATCAACTTTTTGTACTTTAACACAAGACATTTTGCTGTACTTAACTGCACTACAGAACTCTCCACGTGCGTTGACTGTCGCTGTTTGATCTCGAGCTTGTCATGTGACCCAAATTGAGCTGCAAATGTAAATATGTCATATAATAATTTAAATATAAACACTTCATATAAATAGATTTCTTTAAATTGAAAAAAAAATCTACAAAATACAAGATGCAGATGTATTATTACTTGCCAAAAAGTAATTTTAAAAAACATAGGCTATAGGCAGAGGGGCTGGGGGGCTTTTCAAAGGGGTGTGGAGGGCAGGAGTCAGCCTGCGGGCTTTAGTTTGATGACCCCTGGGCTACAGTGTGAATTTCCTATTATAATATAATGATATTTATTTATGACCGTGAAGAGAGAGCTGAGCCGAAAGGCAAAGCTCTCGATTTACCGGTCAGTCTTCATTCCTACCCTCACCTATGCGTCATGAGCTCTGGGTAATGACTGAAAGGATGAGATAACAGACACAAGTGGCTGAAATGAGTTTCCTCCACAGGGTGGCTGGGCGCTCCTTTAGAGACAGGGTGAGAAGCTCCGTCACACAGGAGGATCTCGGAGTAGAGCCACTGCTCCTCCATGTCGAGAGGAGCAGTTGAGGCTCGGGGGCATCTCCCCCGAGGTGTTCTGAGTTTTATCATTTAAAAAAAAAAAAAAAAAAAGAATAAAAACAAACAGCCCTATTTCCTTTACAGCTCAAATCAGACTACGACAAGGGCGACTCCACCATCAAGTACATCCTGTCAGGAGAGGGCGCCGGTGAGGTGTTTGCCATAGACGAGTACACGGGGGAGATCAGGACTCTGAAGAAACTGGACCGGGAGGAGAAGGCCTTCTACGTTCTCCAGGCTGAGGCCCTCAACCGCCTGTCAGAAGAACCCGTGGAGCCTCAGTCTGAGTTCATCATCAAGGTCCAGGACATCAACGACAACGTGCCCCAGTTCCAGAACGAGCCCTACGTGTCCAGTATCCCCGAGATGAGCCCCGTGGGTGAGTGGAAAGTGACATATGTGAACAAAATCGACATCTTTTACCTGTGTCTTGTCAATGTTCCTTGGGAGGTGAAGCTAACTGGAAGCACTGCTCTGTCTGAAGTCAAGTTAGACTTTAATCTCAGCTTGTTTTAGCCACTGACTAACACAAAGTTGGAACTAGAACAGGTGAGCTCATTTGTGCTTTTAAACAAGTGTCTCAAATGGCATTAGTCACAAGTTAGATTGGCACTCAAAAAGTACAAAATAATGAAAAGCCTTTAATACCACCTTCACTGGCCTTCATCAGGGCAAACCGGTTTACACGTTGGCGTGATTTTAACTTTATCTGCCTTGTGGTATTTAAATTAATTTTGTATTTTTGAGTACCTCAGTTTTTTCAACGTTGTATTTGAGACTGATCCCCACACTGAAAAGCACCAAAAGGACAATTTTGCACAATCTCTGTACATCCAAGTAGCACTCCTGCCCCCTAAAGTTTTGCACAGTGCTTTAGTTTGTTAATTTGTCACTCTCACTGCTTTTTTTGAAAATCAAACTCCTAAATGAGTATATATTTTGTATTAGTTTTCAGACAATAAAAAAGTCTGGTATAAGAACCAGGTGGCATCAGACATGTGTTTGTCTGTCATGGTTCAACTTCAGAATGAAAAGGGACTAAACGGGTGGGGCAACAGCTGAACCGTTTGAGCCTTTAACTCTCAAGAGAAATTTTTCACAACAGCTGGAAGTGCCGTGATGTAGGGTAAATGTCACTTACGTTAATGCTTTTCTATGGCAAAATATTTGTGGAAATGTCTCATGTATTTTCCACCAGCTTCATAAATCTGCTTACCCATAACCAAATCTTCAACCAACAAGGTCGACAAAGGATAAACATTCTGAAGATCCATGAAGAATTTATCCACAACTATCAAGATACCAAAGACGAAAAGCTTAAAGGCGAACAACGACCAGCATTAGTGAACTACTCCTGAACAAAACTAACATTATGGTCATGAATAAAACATAAGTAACTTTTGAACTCAGACTGAATCTACAATTAAAATTAAAAATTGATTCATGATGTAGATATTAGCATAGACAGAGATTTGTGCAGTTTAAATGCGAGACATGTGATCTGTGAACATTTGTAGCATTCGAACTGCGCAAATCTCTCTGTCTATGCAAATATCTACATCATGAAATCCATTTTTAATTTTAATTCTACAATCAGTCTGAGTTTCGCAAGTTACTTCTTAACAAATTACTTATTACTTATGTTTTATTCATGACGATAATGTTAGTTTTGCTCAGGAGTAGTTCACTAATGCGTCGTCGTTGTTCGCCTTTACGTTTTCGTCTTTCTTACCTTGATAGTTGTGAATAAATTCTTCGTGGACAGAATATCATTTGTCGACCTTGTTGGAATGAAGATTTGTTGATTGGGCAGATTTATGAAGTGGGAAAAAGGTCTATTAGTAACACTACTCACTGGATTAGTTTATCAGTTATATTTTCATCTTAAGATAAAACACACTTATTACAAAAATTACAAATGCTAGAAAGATTAACACACTATTATTTGTTAATCTGGGCTATATTTGTTTATATTAAAGCACATTAGAAGTGCTCCAATGTGCTTTTAAACTCCATACACCTTCACTAGAATCAGTTGGATGATTTCTGACCTGGAATTGCCGATCTCTACTAAACCGAAGGCCAAATGTAAAGTTAACTTTTAATCACAAGGTGGAACAGAGCATTTTGATCTTTGGAGATGTGGACAGACTAATAAAAATGGATTGCTCAAACATGTGTGAATGAAACAAAACACAACTCTAGGTATGTTTTTGATGAGGTAACAACATTTTACCATGACTTAACACTCACAAGAATACATTTTGTGTAACACAGGACCTCAAAATTGCTTTTTCCAAACATATAGAGACATGGAAAGGAGTATCTAGCTGGAGGAGTAGGGAAGTAGTACTCTCAATCATCTGCTACCATTAGACTTGGGATGATATGGCACCAAATGTGTTAATAACATTATAAAAACATAAGATTCCTTTGTCTATGTGTCCATGTAGGACAATTAGATCTCTGGATTTGACTCATCCTTTAGGCGTGACTTTCCCCACAAGTTCCAAACTCTGCACAATGTCACGAGAATCTGAGAATTTATCTTTCAAGTGTAACTTTCATTTTTCTGAAGAACTTTCCTCAGCTATCATAAATTATTGATCCTTTGGCAACTTAATTTGTAATATATATTCAGTAATAAAATGTCAAAGCTGTATATTTTCCGTGACTTTAATGCCTTACAGGAAATTATGCTTCAGATTTAAGCCATTCAATATAGACCACAGCTTTTGTAAAATACAGACATTTATGACTTTTAATGATCTTGACTGAAAACAATGAAAAAAGATCTATCGCCTGTTCTATTCCAGGAAGTTTCAAACAGCCGGTTGCCATGGATACGGTTCTGGATAGACTTAAATGGCACAAACTTTGCCATTTCAATTTATATGTAATCTGCTTATGTGATATAATATTGCCCGAGTAATAAATTAAAGTGCATTTGACTCTTAAAGGGGAGTGACAGGCAATGAAGACGAGAGCCATGCACTTTAAAGACAGAAGCTGAGAGAAAGGAGAGAATAAAAATCTGCATAAAATGTTGTAAATAACATTCAACATTTTAAGATTACTTTAAAGGTGAACTGGGTAACGTTTCTGTTGAAAGGTGGGCTTTGTTTGTTTCCATGGTGATGTTATTCTTGTACCCCAATGTTCCAAAGTATGGCATTAAACTTGTATTCAGTTGCAGGAGATTTATTGCTTAGAAATAACTTAAATTTGCATTCCTGTTGTGAACGCCTCTCCACAGATCTGACTCGTAACTTGGCCTGGTTAAATGTCATACTGTGGAACATTCCTGGTGTAACAGGTTCATCTCAGAAATCATTGTGGTTAATATTAAAGGGACTATAAAGGACTACTTTATGATTTATGCTATAATGTTTGTGCTGGCGTAGTTTTCCCCTCCACCAGCAGGAGGCACTGTGTTTAGTTAATGCTAATGCTCACTGTTATTTGCTGTAGAGTTAGAAAGGCAGCACACTTTGTAAAATGGCTGACACAACAAGTGTCCTGATGTAATCTACGATCATTCCTTTTTGTTGTTTTACAGAAAGTGTTGCTTGTAAGTATTTTATGTTAAATGAGAGTCATAGAGACCATATTTTCAGTGATTTGTGCATATGTGGACTTAAAAAGAATACATTTATAAAATTTAGTTTGGGCCAATATTAGCTAGATTCAAGCTACCACTTGTGTGAAATTGCATTACTACATAGTCTAAATACAGTTTATTTCTTTTCTGTTGTAGTTTCACTGTTTATTGTTTATTGAAGGCAATGTTTTTAAAGTGAACAATACACCTGTCAGTTGTTGAGGAGTTTATCTGTATAGCTGTATCCACTTCACAGTGAGTGCAAAACAATGATGTTTTCTCACTGAAAACATATCTGGAGTTGTGTTTTGTTTCATTCATCATGCACATTTGGTTCTTTTCTCAAATGAAAAACACTCTTTTCCACCTGTTGATGTCATGTGGTAATACAGGAAGTGCTCCACTTTGTTTGTAAACTCCACACACCTTCACTAGGATCATTTGGATCATTTCAACCCTGGAATTGCCGATCTCTACTAAATTAAAGCTACGTTCAGACTGCAGACTGAAGTGACCCAAATCAGATTTTTTCGCCCCTATGCGATCTGTATCTGAACTTTTAATGACAGTCTGAATGACAAAGATTGGATTTTTTCAAACGCGACCCAGGCCGCTTAAATACGTTATCCTAAAACCGATACATAAGTCTGAACGGCCAGATCGCATTCATCTGACTGAAAAGTCACAAATGTACACAAACATTCTTCTCGTCATACGAAAATTGTGTCTGAACTCCGTGTCAGTGAGGGAATAAAGCACATAACAATCCCAACACTCTGCGACTCCGCACCCACACATTCTTTTCTACAGACGCTGCTGACACTGCCCCACACAACGCCAGGGCCAAAAACCTTGTCCTTTTCCTTCTCAATCTAGCCTGATTCATCACTTCGTGGAAACCGTCTGACCTCGCAGCATTAGGATTTTTGCTCGACGGTAGACGAGTACTTTTTTGATTGAACAAATCACTGCTGTTTGGTTGTGATGTATGAACCAAACATTCTCTTTGTTTCGGCTTTAAATCCTCGATCTCAGGAATCATTGACAACACAGAATGTATGCCTTCATCAACATCCATCTCGACCGCTTTGTTTACTGTTGTGCTGTACCACAAAAGGGACCCAGACAGGCGTTTGAGTTTTAACGACATGGCTTCACAGCTCTTCACTGATTGGCAGGTGCGTGGTCTACAACTTCCGGGGTTCTTGCAAACTGTCTAGTGTATTCCAATTCCTGACCTAGTTGCTGAAGAGAAATTAAATTGAGTGGAGGCACTAGGTGGCACCAGCCTGGCTATGCTCAATCTCCTCCTTAAAACAAAAAAACTGTACATGTTCTGGCTCTGGTACGACAGCAACTTTAAAATCTCCAGGTGCCCAATGCTTGTGTCCATGTTTAGGTCACTTCCGTAAACACTGAGCACGCTCACTGCATGTGATGTCGTTGTGTCCTCCAATGCACATGCAGGACACTTTTGGGGCATTTACAGTTCACACTGGAGATCACATCCAAGTCACATTTAATTAGAAATGTGAACAACCTCGCAAAAAAATCGGATTTCACAAAAAAATCCGAATTGAGCATTAAGCCCTGCAGTCTGAACATAGCCTAAAGGTAAAATGTAGCTGTTAACTTGAAAACTACCACTTCATAACATCACAAGGTGAAACAGAGCATTGGAGATGTGTACAGACTAATAACAAAGGGTTATTCAAACATGAAAGAAACAAAACACAACTCCAGGTATGTTTTTTTAACGTAATATAAGACCTTTAAGAAATGATGGGTATTATTTTAAGCTTATTTAATACTATACATTTGTTACTACCATCCACTCCCATTTCATTTATATATTCATGTAACCCGTATTTTGATATATTCCAAAGAGCATTAAAGATGGGGTTGCACAAAAGATATTCTGGCTTCTTCAGAAACCATGATACAGTTGAGTGGAGCGAATGGCAAAAGGACAAAGCCCAGGTGAGTCCTCGGAGGATAGGGTCTGTGCAGAGATGTGAGAGCGAGGGGACAGAGGAAAGAGGGACGGGGAGGGGGGTAGGTGGGCGCATTGTGGGGACTGGAGGGTCTGTCACGCTCACCTGGACTCCTTCTCACTGCACCAAATAAATAAATAAAGTCTCAGATAAAATCCTCCCCGCTGGGCCAGACAGACACAGCCCGCGGGACGATGAAATAATCACTGTGGCTCCCGCTGCACTAACATCCTCATATTTACTACGGAAGATAGATACAGGGGAGAGGGGGATGGACTGTTTAAACTAAGCTTAGACTCCATTGATTCACGAGTCTTTGCGCAAGTTTACATGAGGTGAGGAGGATTCAACGGCTCCCATTGCTCCTCAAAGAGACAAAGCCAGAATAAGTTTTGAAAATCGTGTTTGAAAATCTACTACTAACCTCAAATAATGTACTTTTTCTTTTTACACGTTTTTCTTAACCTATACAAGTGTCAAAGAAATAGTCAAGGATTGTCAAGTGGTGGTGCTTGTAGAAGAGGAAGAAGAAGGGTTTTTAAAAATGATTATTATATACTTAAACATTTTCCTGGTTTAGCAAAAACAATGCAAAATCATGCTCTAAGGAGAGGTTTGAACCACTGCATAGCAACACAATCCCGATTTCAGTAATTTGCAATCAAGTTATTCAATTCAAATTCTTATTTTGACACTCAAAGACACTTTACAGTTCACTAAGGCAGAGGTGGGACCAAGTCGTTGTTTTGCAAGTCTCAAGTAAGTTTCAAGTCTTTGATCTCAAGTCCAAGTCAAGTCTCAAGACAAATACAAGCAAGTCCAAGACAAGTCTCGAATCACTGGCCCATAAGTCCAAGTCCAGTTTGTCTGCTTTGAGCTTCATGTCAAGGCTCAAGTTCAAAGCTTTAAACCAAAGTATCAAATATAGCTTAGATTTTTGCAATTTATATGAGTTTAAACTAAATTGTACTTATAAAGTCATAGTATATTTATATATGATATTTATAGAGTATATAAGAGTGGTAGAAGAGAATATTTCCTTTTTAAAGGCCTTGACAAGATGTTAGAGTGAATCATTATGGTCAGAATAGAAAGAATTCAGATTTAAAAGTGCTTCTCAAGTCTGAGTCAAGTCCCAAGTCATTGACCTTCAAGTCCAAGTCGAGTCCCAAGGATTAGTCCGTTTTAACAAGTCAAGTCTCAAGTCCTAAAAGTCCTAAAAGAAGTCCAAGTCATAACTTGCATGTCCCCACCTCTGCACTAAGGGTATGGTACACTCTGTTGTACCCAGTTTGTCCTCTGCATTTGACCCATCCTTCAATCCCGTTGGGGCATGTCCTCAGTCATCCCCATGGTCTTGTTGCTAGCCTTGGTTAGGACTGTCTTAGTTGGAGGATTTTACCTTTGGGGCTTGATTTGGGTTTTGTTACCATTCTCTCCCTGGTGATGGGAAGCTACATGTTCGCAAGCAAAGCTGCCAATCCATGCCATCTGCCCCTCCAACCACTACTGATCACTCAAACAGAACATTCATACATAGGCAAGGTCCTGTCATGTTTTTTACAAGGACACAATGACTATGCTCTGGTCCGATCCATAGACTGTATCTCTGGACATACTGTAGCTAGCACACTAACCGCCATGTTCCAATTAGGAAGTGAGCACGAGCAAGATTCAGCTCCATTGACTCTCCTTGTCATTTTAGTCTTAAAATGTAATAACAGACCAATGAGGTGCCTTCTTTCCCCCACGGTTGCTCCGGATAGCATTAATAACAGATTTGATTGACAGTGTGGTCCTGATTGGCTCTTGGTTGCTATGATACACGCTCGATTTCCAAATATGGATCTGGGATCCAGATTAGCCACTATAACTGCTGACCTTGATTGGCTTCATTTGGCTAGAACCGAAATTGACTCTTGGCAGAATCAATTTTAACATTTTCTCAGGGTTTATATCCAATCTGTTCTAGAGTTAATTTTACATTTTTGGAACTAAATGTTAATTAAGTAACACTGGACCAAAGTTTGAGTTTAACCCCACAATCAAGAGTTATGTTAACATTTTGAGAGTAAACGGATCACACTTTGTAGGGTTATCCTGATTTAGCTGAACAACACACAGAGGTGTTTTATTTTTACACTTTATTTTAGTTAATTAAACATTTTGGGGATTAGTAACTACACACTGTAAAGTGTAAATTAAGGTAGACTGTAAAGAATCACATTCACACTATGTAAAGCTTTTATTTTCTTTAAAACATTGTAAATGATGAAATTATGTACAAAACTAGTTCAAACTGATCGTCTCTGGTGGGAGTTTGAAGTGGTGGGTGCGAGATGTCATATTAACACTAGGGAAAGTTGAATGAACACTAGGGAAAGTTGAATTAACTTCAGCCATGTCAACTCTGGCAAATAACCCCAACTCAAACCTCCATTTAACTTTCAGATAGTTAAAATAACACTTTTTGTGTTAAAAATTACTCCCTCACATTTTAACCCCCCAGTTTTTGCTGTGTGTGACTGACTTAGACTTAGCCTTGTTGTATAGTTGTAGGGAGTATTATCTGTTACATAAGGGTGAGTTGTTGTACAGTTGTAGGGAGTATTATATGTCCCTCTATAGTCTGGTGCAGTGGGTTAGCAGGAGTGTCCAGTGTCCTCCTGTCCCTCACTGTGACAGATGTCTCCTGCTCACAGCCAATCTCGAATCAAACCTTCAGCTCGGTGGGTGAAAAGCACTGATCCCTTGCCAACCAACTCATAAAAGCTGATTTAATGATCCTGTTTAATACATGTAACTGTGCTTATACCTTCTCTGCCTCTCTCTTCAGGGACCACAGTTGCGCAGGTGACCGCCACAGACGCCGACGACCACATGTTCGGAAACAACGCCAAGCTCATCTACTCCATCCTGCAGGGGGAGCCGTACTTCTCCGTGGAGCCCAAGACGGGTGAGTGCTAACAAGTTAGAGTTACCGAGAGAGAGAGAGAGAGGTTCTGATGAAGAAGTCACTCAGGGCTAATCAGGGGGAGCACTACACCGGTGTTTGGCACGGCACACTGCAGCGCTGATTGGGCCTAAGTGATGTTTGTGTTGACAACAAGTGCCTCGGAATAACAAGGGGAATAATGACACAGGCATGCAGGGAAAAATCAAAACATTGCTCTTGTGTTTATACTTAAAAATAATGTATGTGAGTTGGAATCGAGAGCTGCTGAAGTCAAATGTGGAGTTTTTCTGATTATTAACAATTGATTCGCTTTCCAGTTCCATTAATTACGACAGCTTAACTTCACATGATGTTATATTATTCAAAATGTTTTATTTTAATAGCAGCTGGGGTTGAGTTTGCTGTTTAAAGCCATAGTATGTAACTTTTTTGCCACAAAAAAGACGTTAGTTGATGCAAATTTTGAGACATCCAGGAATTACAGTATAAGCGAGTTAAAACAAAAACTACTGGACTTCCTTAGGTGATCGCTACGCCCAACAGATGTAGAGATGTGAGTAGAGGTCCTGAAGAAAATGTCTGGTTCATAGCAAAACATTGTCTTCAAATAGCTAAGTAAGTCCAGTTGTTTTCATTTTAACTCACACAAATACTAAAATAAAAGCAAATGTTTTCATGATGGGTGTTTTTATAGCACTGAAAAACATAGAAAGTCATGTGCCTTTACTTTTTACTCTTTTACTGACTTGGACTTCCATCTCCACAAACCTGACTCTTATTTGGCCCGGTGTACAGCCTCTTCCTGCTTGTTTCCATGGAAATATTGTTCCGTTGGCTATAATATTCAATATTAGTATGACATTCAACTTGTGTATCTCTGTGGAGAATGTTCTGAAGTATGGTTTTAATGCTCTGTTTCTGTGGAATCATGAAGCTGACTCTCCACCCACAGAAAGTTACTATTACTGTATTTTTCTGACTATAAGATGCACTTAAAATCCTTTTAATTTTCTCAAAAATCGAAAGTGTGCAATTTTTGTGTGCCTTATGTATTAATTCTGGTTGTGCTTACTGACCTAGAACCGATTTTATGTAGTACATGGCGCTCAAAAATCTGTCAAAATGTTTTAGTACGACTTTGGTAAACTATGAAGCTGTACCGCTTGACGGATTGTCGGAGCATTACAGCTGCTGTAGTTGACAGAAGCTGACTTTTTTTCAGTGCTTATAGCTTATGCAGATTAGCCATGTGGTTTTAAGTTTTGTTTCTGTAAAATGTAAACAAATATACGCAGAGCTGCATCAAACACATTATTATTCAATGTATATTTGAGTCCTCCTCATAGGAAATAAAAAAGCAAACTTAAATGATCCACCCACATTCACCGGGTAACACCGGGCAAATTACGCCACGAGCTGCCAATGGATCGTAGATGCCTGGGCTAAGGGATCAGTCTCAAGTGTCGTCTGTTTCACTTAATGCGTCTTATAATCTGTTGTGTTTTATGTATGAAAATAGATGAGAGAATTCAACATTATTGACATTGCACCTTATAATCCAGTGTGCCTTATAGTCCGAAAAGTATGGTACTTTAACCCTTGTATGATTTATGTATTTAAAGGCCCTGTACCCATTTTTCCATGTATTTGACCAGAATGTAATCAAATGTGTCTGATTTTAAAGCATTTTACTGTCTGAGAATCAGGAAGGGCCAGTTACCATGCTCGTTGTTAGCTTTACAGTGACAGCAACTCCTCTGGTCTCTGAAAGATAATTATAATTAGGGCGATCAGAATGCATAAGGTAAGTGAAGAATAACTTTGGACCAGTGCAAACCATTTCAAATGAACTAGTTCTGCTTCTCATGTTTTTAAGACTGTAAAAATCAGATACATGGCTTGAATTACTATTCAGGACTCGAGACAAGACATGATCTTGATAAACAAACTTAAACAGTATGTAAGTCAATTTCATAACTGTGATTTAAGAGTCTAGTTTAGACAGAGACAACGTACAACTCTAGAAGCTTCTACAAACTCCAGAGAGAGAATAAGAGGTGGTAGAATCAACAGAGATATGAGCTGCTATTTCACTGCGCCGGTGGCTGCCGTGGTACAGTTTACCTAGAGCTAAACAGAGCTGAAAATCTTTGTGTGGTTCAAACTTACTCCCTTTTCCCTGCACTTCCAGTCTGAGTTTGCTTCTGCTCAATGGTGATGCTGGTGGGTGCTGGAGGCTTGTTTATCTTGGCAGTAAGTCTGTGTTTTTAAAAATGTATAAACTGGGGAGCCATTCTTGTACAGAGACTAGAGGCATCTTCAAAGTACCATTTGGGTTTTTTGTATTACTTCACTCCTGAGGACGTTTTTAAACTTTTTTGTCCACAAATATTTACATAATATCTTGTGCTTTGGGGAATGACCAAAAGAACAAGATCACAGATACAAGCGGTCGAAATGAGTTTCCTCCACAGAGTGGCTGGGCGCTCCTTTAGAGAAAGGGTGAGGAGCTCAGTCATATGAGAGGTTGTAGGTATGCTCGGAGTAGAGCCGCTGCTCCTTCACATGGAGAGGAGCCAGCTGAGGTGGTTCAGGCATCTGTTCCGGATGCCTCCTGGATGTCTCCCTGGGGAGATGTTCCAGGTATGCCACCCACCAAGAGGAGGCCCTGGGGAAGACCTAAGACACGCTGGAGGGACTATGTCTCTGGGAACACTTCGGGATACCTCCGGAAGAGCTGGAGAAAGTGTGTGTGGAGAGGGAAGTCTGTGCCTCTCTGCTCAGACAACTGCCCCCGTGACCCGGCCCCGGATAAAGCGGAAGAAAATGGAATGGAATTTACATAATATTTTAAGGCGCAAGGTCTGCTACCTGCTTGTCTCCCTGGATGCCTAGAATGTTCCACATTATAGCAGAAACTTATCTAGCTCCATAGAGGTGAGGAAGTGGTGAGATCAGACCAAGTTACAAGTCAGGTCTGTGTAGAAATCAGCTCACAGGAAGAATTTGTGTTTTTTCATGGTATTTTGGAGAAATAAACCACCTGTAATTGAATTCAAGATATGTTTATTGCCAGACTATAAAACGGGAAAATCTGAACCAAGTGGCAGACCCCCTTCCCTGACTCATCTCCCACTACCCACTCCACCATCCACTATCCACTAGAAAAGTTACATAATGCGCCTTTCTGTTCATGGAGTTGAGCAAAATTGCTTTTGTCCCAGTGCATAGATTGTAAAAGCTTTTCTTAGGGTCAAAATCAGACCCCTGCATCTTATTATAAAGCATTTTTATCGTCCGGGAATCAGAGCACTGTTAGCATGCATTACCGGGATGACAAAACTTCATTTTTGGAAAGTGTGAAAAACACTTAAAATGTCACTGTGGTGAATAATTAGGATGCTAGGAACGCATTAGGAAATTGGGGACCTGTGCACTGCGAAGCGGTTAAAATGAAATAGTTCAGTTTTTTCATGCTTTTACGAAAATTCAAAATAAACTTGCTAAAATCAATTTCAGCCCAAAGTCTTGATTCCTCCTTTTTTCAACTGTCAGTCAAATGTGTCGTATTAAGTGGTGTCCCAAAGAAAAATAGGGAAAGAAAGAGTAAACATGAGGGAGGCTTCAGGAGCAGACATCAGATGAATGAATCAAAATTTATTGGTCTCCGTGAGTTTATATCTTCTCTCCTCCTTTTGTCTCCTCTGGGGGCGGGACTTTTTCATCCATTTCCTACAGAATCCTGAAGAGGAATCAAGGAGAAGGAATCGGGGAAAAACTCTGACCTTTTGTCTCTTCTTCTTCTTGTCCACAGGTATAATCATGACGTCGTGGCCCAACATGGACCGCGAGGCTCGAGAGCAGTACCTAGTGGTGGTGCAGGTGAAGGACATGCTGGGGCTGAGCGGAGGATTCTCTGCCACCACCACAGTCACTGTCACACTGAGCGACGTCAACGACAACGGGCCCATCTTCCAGCACCGTGAGTACATTACCTGCGTCACGCTAGCTTGCTTTATGGGACCGTGCATGATGTTAGCCGTAATGTGTGTCACCAGCGTTTTGCATGATCGAGGAGGACTGAGTTTCAGAAGAAAGCATGTCACAGCACAATGGCGTTCTTACCTATGCGTCTTAAGTAAATGTTGGGAATGGAGTGGGCTATACTGACTAAAATTATTATCTAAAAAAAAAAAAAAGTTCTTTACTATCCTGGAATGTCTTAGTTTAGGTTCAAGTAACAAATAAAAATGTGAAAGGCCCATAGAATTAACTAGAATTAATACCCTTGTTCTATTTTTGAGGAAATTATTTGTTTAATTATAGACAGTACACTGGATATTCTAATTTTGCACATCGCCAAATGACAATTCTACTTTCTTTTTTTTTTTTTCATATGTACTGTATTTTTCTGACCAAAAGGCACACTTAAAATCCCTTAATTTTCTCAGCAATCGACAGTGCGCCTTATAATTCGGTGCACCTTATGTATTAATTCTGGTTGTTCTTACTAACTTTGAACTGATTTTATGTGGTACTCGGTGCTCAAAAATCTGTCAAAATGTTTAGTGCAACTTTGGTAAGCTACGAAGCCGCACCGCTTGATGGATTGTCAGAGCATTACAGCTACCATAGTCAGTAGCCTCAAGGAGTCCGACAGAATCCAACAGAAGTTGAACGGCATCACCGCACAAGGATCGAGCTGTTTTTTTCAGTGCTTATAGTTTATGCAAATAAGCCATGTTATTTTAAGTTTTGTTTCTGTAAAATGTAAACAAATGTGCACAAGGCTGCATCAACCACATTATTACTCAATGTATATTTGAGTCGTCATCGAAGGAAAAAAAAAAAAAAACTTAAATGATCCACCCACAATCACATTCTTATTACACATTCACCAAGTCAGGGAGGCAATGTCGGGCGAGTTACACCACGATCTCCCAATGGATTGTGGATGCTTGGGCTAAGGCAGTGCTTCTCAAATAGTGGGGCGCGCCCCCCTGGGGGGGCGTGAGGCTCCGTCAAGGGGGGCGCGTTTGACCTCGGGGAACATGCTTTTTTATTTTTTTTATTTAGATTTTTTTTACTGTCTTAAGGGCCGTTCACACCAAAGCGTCAAAAAACGCCTTGACGTCTCTATTTGGAGCCTTTGCATTTGAGTTCAGACGCCCCCGACGCACGTCTTTGACGCCGTGGACGAACGGGACAAAAATACTTGACGCGCGTCCGTTGCCCTGGAAACAAGAGCCCGGTCCCGCTCTTTTCCCGAAACAATGTCAGACCAGACTGAGATGTTTTATTCGTCCTAGGGGGGGCATGACAGAAAATAATTGAGAAGCACTGGGCTAAGGGATCAATCTCAAGTGTCGTCCATCTTTTTCACTTAATGTGCCTTATGTATGAAAATAGAGGAGAGAATTCAACATTATTGATATTGCGTCTTATAGTCCAAAAAATACGATATTCTCCCACCTGTATTTGGCAGGGCTTTTTCAATGTAATCAAAACAGCAGCATTCTAAAGACTGGTATTACTCCATACTTTGGCTCTAATACATTTTCAGTGTGTGAGTCAGCCTCCAAATATCAAAAACTGTGAACACCCAGGACCTTGTTAGAAAACATGACCACGTGTAAAAGTGTTTAACATGGTTCACTGACTTGGCAATTAGTACCAAAATCTGCATAAAAGCTAATGACCACATAATTAATATTTCTTGAAAACTGAAATCTTGCAAAAACCTCTTTTCTCAATTTTCATGTACCTTTAGGAAAGGTTGTCCAGCTGCCAACAAATCAACACTGCCAAACAAAGTGTTACCAAATAATTTTTTATTTAACGGCAACAAAAGTAACTTTGCTGTGATCAAGGTCGGTGAAGGGCTTAGGCCTACAGAAGGACAACAGTATAAAGTGTGTGATGAGGAACTGTGGCTGTGGTGGGCGGGTGCTGTGTATCATTACGGGCTCTGTAGAGAATTAAAAGCAGATCGTTGTAGATTGAGACAGAGAAGGCGCAGAGAAGGGGAGTGTGCACGTGTCCAACGCGTCGCCCACTGGATGAGTTTAATCATTCAAACATGAAAGGACATTTGTCATGACCTTTGGGAAGAAACCAGGGCCTGCGCACTGATAAAGCCGCAACAGGAAAATCAATGGAAGACGAGTTAGACAGAGATGGTGCTATGTTTTGAGCCTGTATGCTCATGCAAACATCCAAATGTAAGGGCAGCTGAAAATGGCAAACATAAAGAGGCCAAGAACCTTTTTCTGCATCAAGATGTTATTAGTTTGTGCTAAATGTTGCACAAAAAGGCTTGAAACTTTGCCATTTCCATGACGATGAGCAGGCGACTTCACCAAACAAATACTTTTTGGCAACAAAAATGCCTGGAATTTAATGAATGTAAGATAGATATGTATAACGAATCTAGCTCCATGGAGGCAAGTAGTTGGTGCTACCAGAACAAGTTACACGTCAAGTCTGTGTAGAAGCGAGCCCCTACTCACAGGAAGGATAAATGTTTTTCAAGGTATTTTAAAAAAAAATAAACCACCTGCAATTTAATATATTCAAGACATGTTCATATGTTTAATGCCATACTGTGTAACATTCCAGGCAAAGCCATACCAAGCTTATGCACCATAATGAAATCTGATGAATTCTTGTGGTATTTGAAGTTCATAAGCTCACAAGAATGAGTATGCCCCAGTACCCAGGGGCTGCACCAGTCACAGGTCAGGTTCGTGGTTTGGGCAGAAGCCAAAAGCTCCCAGTGAACCATAACAAACATGGCCACACAAATGGGTTTTAGACAAAACATGCAGAGACAAGCACTTTGTGTATAAGTGGATTGGAAAGTTGTTTGGTTAGATTCAATTGAGAGAAATGTACAAAATGTAATCATTTTTTTCTTGTTCCAATGTTGTGGCACATACCATCTGCAAATTTGACCTGTGCACTTTTGTATTGTGACTTGCTGGAAAAAAGATTATGTGCATTACAGTTTCAGCTGTAGCATCTGTTAGCTTAGCGGCTAGTCCCTTCTAGCAGTGGCAGTCATCCAAATGGTATCTAATTTCCTCATGTCCTCTCTGGAGTTGGGGCAAGATTATGAAGAAGAGTTGCCACGACTTCTCAAATTAACCCTCCATCACCATCTCTGCCTCCTCTTATCACTTATCTTAAGCACTCTCATCTGGCCAGCTAATAGCGGCCCACAATCCTCACTTAGTTAATACAAGATTTCATTTAAATGTTATTTTCCAGGTTCATTTAGGCATTTCATTAGTTCCAACATGAGTATTTTTTTTAATCTTCCAAAAGAAGTAATAAGTCTCTATCATAGATAATTAGAGACTTTTTTTTTAAGTTCCATAACTTTTATGTGAAAACAGAAAGAAAGAAGGCACTTCCACATGTGTCTGTTGCACCCACACAGCACACAGATCGAGGTGAAGCTGCAGATTTGCGATAGTGATTCTACTTCCTGTGTACTTTATCGGCAATCTTCATGCTTTAAAAATCACGTATCTTAAGTATTGCAACTCATTTCACAAATAATATTAACACAGTTTTAACTTGCATCTAAACTACAAGTGCAGTGCTCTGATCTTTTGAACACTTAAGAGTCTCAAAGCAGGTTGTTTTACTGTCCTGTCGGACTTCGGTTGGGTTTCCATGCTCCAGCCCAGGCATCCACAATCCATTGGCAGATCGTGGTGTAACTCCCCGGCGTTGCCTCACTGTCTTGGTGAATGTGTATTACTCCACGAGACTCCTGACTAAGGAAAAGCTCCAGAAAAAAGTGTCTTGCCCTCTCTGGGTGGGTGGAGTGGCCCTGCCTCAAGTGGAGGAGTTCAAGTATCTCGGGGTCTTGTTCACGAGTGAGGGGAGGTTGGAGCCTGAGATTGACAGGGGGATTGATGCAGCATCTGGAGTGATGAGGTCACTGTATGTGATGAAGAGGGAGCTGAGCCAAAAGACAAAGCTTTCGATTTACCAGTCAATCTACATTCCTCGCCTCACCTATGGTCATGAGCTTTGGGTAGTGATCGAAAGGACAAGATCATAGATACAAGTGGCCGAAATGAGTTTTCTCCGCAGGGTGTCTGGGCAGTCCTTTAAAGATAGGGTGAGGAGCTCGGTCACACGGGAGGAGCTCGGAGTAGAGCCACTACTCCTCCACGTTGAGAGGAGCAGCTGAGGTGGCTCGGGCATCTGTTCCAGATGCCTCCTGGGCGTCTCCCTCAGGAGGTGTTCTGGGAAGGAGGCCCCGAAGAAGACCCAGGACATGCCGGAGGGACTATGTCTCTCGGCTGGCCTGGAAACACCTTGGGGTCCCCCCGGAGGTGCTGAAGGAAGTGTGTGGGGTGAAGGAAGTCTGGGAGTCCCTGCTTAAACTGCTGCCCCCATGACTCAGCCCTGGATAAGCAGAAGAAAATGGATGGATGGATGGACTGACTGACTACGGTAGCTGTAATGCATAATCCATCAACTGGTGCAGCTTCATAGCTTACCAAAGTCATACTAAAACATTTTAACAGATTTTTGAGCGCTCTGCACCACATAAAATCAGTTTGTGGTCAGCAAGCACAACCCAAATGAATACATAAGGTGCACCGGATTATAAAAGAAAATTGAAGGATTTTAAGTGTGCCTTATAGTCCAAAAAATACAGTAGATAAATGGATTAGAAAAGTGAGGAATAACACTGAACAACTACATTTTCGTATGTAGTTTTGTTTTCAAGACAGTCAAATTCAGATACTGCGCCTTTAATATGTCACTTAGTTATTATTCATATCAGCATTCCTATTGCACAGCACACAGCCCAACAACACCGGCCAAAAATACTACAAATACTACAAAACTTTTGGGCACCAGTAAACTCTGAATCACTGCTGTCTGTCTGTCAGGTGACACAAGTATTCCATGTATTGCAGTTGGCACCAGCGGGTTGCACATGCCCAAACTTACCAGATGTTTCCCCATTCATGGCAGGTGGCACCGCTGTGTTATGGTGAGAGCAGGTTTCATCAGCTCCAACTGCAACTGTGCATGTCACCAACAGCTCCCGGGGAAGGATCTGAAAAAAAAGTTTAAATAATATGCTTTTAAAGATCCTATATTGCACCAAATGGATTCTTGTGAGCTTTAAGCAATGTGGTTACCTCGTTAAAAACAAACCTGGAGTTGTGCTTTGTTTTATTTACACATGTTTGAGTAATTCTTTATTATTAGTCTGTCTACATCTCCAAAGTTCACGCTGTTCCACCTTGTGATGTCATGAACTGCTCAGTAGAGATTGGCAATTCCTGGGTTGAAATTATCCAAATGATTCCAGTGACTGTGTATGGAGTTTAAAAACACAGAGGAGCACTTCTGGTATTACATCCCAAGGGTCCCTTTAATACTAGTGCTACTTTTAGACACCTTTAACATTGCAAATACATGTTTAGTTATATATTAATGTAAGGAAAACTTTTAAAAGGTCTATATAGGACTTTTTTTTTTCTGTTAAAATGTTATTTCCTCGTCACAAACTGGATGTACATGGAGTTGAGTTTCGTTTCATTCACTCTTGTTTAACACATAAATCCTGCATATTTAGGCTGAGTTCTTCTCTCAAACAGAAAACACTCTCTTCCACCTTGTGATGTCATGTGGTAATACAAGAAGAAAGCGCTCCACTGTGTTTTTGATCTCCATACACCTTCACTGGAAACATTTGGATCATTTTGCCCCTGGAATTTCCACACTTTGAAGTCACAGCTATTGTTTTAGCCTCATTGAAACTGCTTCACTCTTCAGTGCACCAACAGATATTAGAGACTTTCTCAACTATACAAAGGGTAAAATAAAACTATTCAAAAATAAAAGCAACAACTTATTCTAGAATATTGAAACTAAAATAGCTACCACTAAATTACATCATAAGGTGAAAGTGGGCATTTTGAACATTGGGGATGCGGAGAGCACTCAAACGTGTGAATGGTATGAGTAATATATGACTTTTAAGGTTTGTCATTCACCTATTGTTGGCAACACTGGGAAATAAATCATGCAGGGACAACCAATCAGCAGCAAAGCTATTAACAACAGGGAACTAACAGGTAGATGGACTGATCACTGTTGTGTTACGGGTATTTTTATTTTTTTTTTCTCACAGAAACTACATTATAAACTTTGGGACAAAAATCTGACCTCTACATTCTGTCTTCAGCTAATTATCAAACATTTAATCTTTTGCAAACTTGTAACAAACAGCCAGCAGCTACTGTTGTGGCCAAAAACTTAGACTGGCAAATCTTAGTGATGTGCCAGAGGGTTTAAAAACCAAGTACTCCAGCTTTATTAATAGTAATAAGAAGAATGGATGTGATAAACTGACACAAGCAAGACTGCCAATCACACCACTAATCATTCACTCACTGGACACAATGCCAGAATGTTTTAGAGCCACAGTTGCCCCTCGCTGACTCTTGATATTCCCAGTGGTTTCCATTTCCAGCCCTCATCAGGCCTAACTCGGTTTAGCTTCAGAGATCAGATTGGATCGGACATTCCCAAGGTGGTAGGTCTCAGTGGAAACTACAGGGCTGGACAATATGGTGATGAAAGTGAATGTTGATCTGATCCTGTGACAGTCTGCTTTTTTGGTGAAATTGTCATATTGAGATTCACTCACGTTCTGTTTAATTCACCTCTATCCTCTAACATATACTCTTTTCCCCACCCACTCCTCCTGTTGGTCATTCTTTGTCATGTTCTGAGTGAGTAACAGTGAAGTGTGAGCTTTTGATTTAACTTAGAAGTGATTGATGATTTCATTTACCTCTTCAAGGCAATGTAAAGATCCTAGGTACACATGAATCATGATAAAATCAGGGGAAAAAGCTTGTCACTGCATGAACACTTACCAGTATGAATCCTCCTCCTCTTCCTCAGACCTGTACACGTTCGCCGTACCGGAGAACGCGGAGGTTGGCACGACCGTGGGCAGGATTTTGGCAGTGGACGGAGACACGGGCATCAACGCCAAAATGACTTACAGCCTGGAGGACGACCTGGAGGAGAGCGCCACTTTCATCATCCACACAGACCTGGACACGCAGGAGGGGGTGCTGGTGCTGGCCAAGGTGGGCTCGCATGTCTGACCCCTCACACACACAGCGGCTTTTGGGTTCAGAGCTGTCTATTGTAGTTCACGTGGGTTATGGGGGTTTGTGTTTGTGTGCGGTTAGTGTTAGGATTGAAAGTTACTGGAGGTGTCAGAACCTTGAACACAGAAATAATACTGGGATTGCTGTGAAAGGCTGAATTGCCAACCTTACCAAAAACAAACGAAAAGCTCTAAAATGAAATATCAAATGTGTAACAAAGGCTTCTTAACTTATATTAATATTAATTAATTAATCATTTATAGAGCGCCTTTCAAGATATTATCTTATTTTTCAGACTATAAGTCGCTCTGGAGTGTAACTCGAAACCAGCCAAAAAATGCATAATGAAGAAGAAAAAAACATATATAACTTGCACCGGACTATATGTCGCACTTTTTGGGGGGAATTTATTTGTTAAGATCAGAGACCAGGAACCGACATTTCATCTTGAAAGTTCAGAACAGAGAACAACAGACTGTTAACGTCACATATGAACAGTTCTTCAGATAACTATAATATAAATAACAGAACAGAACAAGTTTACCAAACTCTGCATCTCACTCCAGATCATTAAATCCATTGAATTCCTCATCCTTGGTGTCACCTTGGTGTTACCTCCAGAGGTAAACGGAGCACCGCTTCCTTTTCTGTGTAGCTGTCGACAGACTCAGCATCAGTTCCAGTTAGAATTATTCCGGTCTTTCCGAATCCCAACAGGATGTTTTTGATTGTCACTGAAGTCCAGGCTTTGTTGATCCATCCAGTGACTTCCAGGAAATTTGCATGGTTCACCCTCCCAGTGTCACAAGTTTCTCGCTTCTTTCTCCTGCTCGATTCCCATTTTCAGCTGCATATTTCGCTACTTGCAGCTTGTAATTTGCAAAATATGATTTTCTTTTTTGGGGCATTTGTGTTCAGTCTTCTCAGTTGTCTTTATAATTTTGTTACAATTTTTAATTTTCAGTGGTGCAGAAGTAATGGTGCACTGACATGATACAGACAGAACAGAGGCTCTTTCTGCAGGAGATATGCGCAGTAGAGTCAAGTGACAGTGATAAAGAAGTAATAGGAGTAGCACACAAGCCTAGAGCGCCCTCTCGAGGCTGTCAGTGTGAAAATGTAATATATAAGTCACACCGGTGTATAAGTCGCAGGACCATCCAAACCATGAAAAAAGTGCGACTTGTAGTCTGAAAAATATGGTACACAAAATGGATTCTTGAGAGCTTTAAGTCGTGTTATAATGTTGTTACCTCATCCAAAACATACCTGGAGATGTGTTTGTTTCATTCACACATTTGATTAACCCTTGTATTGTTGGTCTGTCTTCCTCCCCAAAGCTCAAAATACCCAAACCCAAAATACAATGTTCCACCTTGTGATGTCATGAAGTGGTAGTTTTCAAGTTACTTTTTACCTTTAGTTCACCTTTAGAGATGGGCAGTTCAAGGGCAGAAATCATCCAAATGTTTCTAGTAAAGGTGTATGGAGTTTAAAAGCACAGTGGAGCGCTTCCTGTTTGAGAGAAGAACTTAGCCTAAATCTGCAGGGTTTGTGTTAAACATGTATGAAACGAAGCACAACCCCAGGTCTGTTTGTGACGAGGAAACAACATTATAACACAGATCCGAATGTAGCATCATATGGGCCCTTTAAAGATGCATTATAGTTGCATATAGAAAAGTTTTCTGGTATCAAATATAGGTTCTGAATGCTAGAAATAACATGCAACTCTCCACAGTTTTGACCTGTAACTTGACTTAGTGGCATCACCATGGAGAGGAATCTAGAAAAATCAATAACATTGCACCTTTATGTAAGAGCTTGAAGTGATTGGTTGAGGGTTGAAAAATTACCAGGTTGTGATTGGCTAACAGCAGCAGAAAGAAAAAATGTGCAAAAAGTCTCCTTGGTTGAAATGAAGTATCAACTTGAAAGAAAAAAAAAAAACAGAAGACAGCTTGTCCATCCATCATCTTTACTGAATATATTTATTAAAAAGGGAACATATTATGCTGAATCCAATTTTAAGAGCTTTTAAACATGTTATAGGTTTTCTCATTATTTACTCTCTCAATGTTGTAGTTAGATTGATTCATTTAAAGGTGCACTATGCAACTTTTTGGTTTCCGCTTCTGTCACCTGCTTGGATATGTCATTGCTCTGCCTGGAATGTTCCACAGTATGACATTAAACAGCTCTGCCTTACATTTCTTAAATTACTTGTGTTTTTATAACTCAAAAATACCTAGAAAAAAGGAATTTTGACTGAGCGGCATCGCCCTCTCCACACACCTGACCTGCAACTTAGTCTGGTTTGGTCTCCATGAATAGACCTTTTTCACAAACAGCTGGAAGTGCCATGATGTACGGTAAACATCACTTACATTAATGGTTTTCTATGGCATAATGGCTGTGGAAATGTCTTGCGTATCTTCCACCAGCTTCATAAATCTGCCCCATCACCAAATCCTGAACCAACAAGGTCCACAAAGGATAAACATTCTTCCATGAAGAATTTATCCACAACTATCAGGGTAAGAAAGACGAAAACTTAAAGTCAAACAACAACTAGTATTAGTGAACTACTCCTGAGCAAAACTAACAAAACAAATCTATGAACATCTGTAGCCTTTGAACTATACAAATTTCTTCATCTGTGCTAATATTTATATCATGAAATTGAAATTGTTTTGTTCAGGAGTAGTTCACTAATGTGTCGTCGTCCTTCACCTTTACGTTTTCGTCTTTCTTACCTTGATAGTTGTGGATAAATTCATCATGGAAGAATGTTTATCCGTTGTCGACCTTGTTGGTTGAAGATTTGGTGATGGGGCAGATTTATGAAGCTGGTGGAGAATTACGCCAGACATTTCCACAGATATTTTGCCATAGAAAACCATTAACCGGAAGTCCTGGAAACCTACAGCGGGGCACTTCTGGCCGTTGTGAAAAAGGTCTTTATAGAAAGGTTTAATAATAACAATAACATCTCCATGGAGAAAAGCATTTGAGAGACGCTCCACCAGAAAAGTTACACAGTGCACCTTTAGGGAAGAAGATTTGTTTAAGTAATCTTTCTATGCCACTGCTTTGAATAAAAATAAAATAAAAGTATCTACAGTTTTTAGCCCCCCCCATACACACTTTCTGCCCTACTTACTTAGTGTTTTCCATTTTTGCAGTATTTTTGAAACAGTGATACAGGTTGTCACAAATCAAGTTGTTGTGATGATGTTGACGGTGATGTAGCGTGATATTGCGAGTGTCAAAACTATTACATAATGATCCACGGGTGGCAGAGATGATAATACAGCAGACAAAAGCAGGACATATCTTCTAAAAAAAAGCAGTTTTCTCTTTCCTCCGCAGCCATTGGACTATGAAACCAAACGGCGTTACGTGATGGCGGCCGAAGCTTTGAACGACCACCCGGACCTGCGCTTCCTGCCCCTGCACGAGTTCTCGGACAGGACCACTCTGAAGGTTTACTTTTGATTTCTTGAGGTCATACACAGTCACAGATAGGGATGTAAGAATAACCTAAATATTGTGATATCGTATCGTCAGAGGTCTCACAAGAACATCGTGGACCAGCGCAATATATCGAATTACAAGTCTCTTTGCTTAAATTAATAGTTATGGTGCAGCAGTTAAGAAAAAACAAAGACCATGATCCTTTGCTCCATTTTAGTGCAGATTATATAAAGAAATAACAGTTATAAGCACTTTTAAATCTTAGTTCTTTGGGTTAAGTCTTGTCAAGGCATTTTAAGAGTAAAAGTAACTCCACAGTCTCCACTAAATATTCTAATAAATATCGTACTGTGAGATGCATATCATAAAAATACTATTTCAAGAGATTTGGATGTCATTCCATCTCTAGTCACAGTAGAGGTCTTGTGTGTAGCTAGCTCCTGTTCCTGGTTGGGCTTTTCCCTAAAATAAAAAAGTTCAAAACAGATTAAAAACAAAATCTTTAAAGGGACAGTCTGGAATTTTGGACATAGGACCTCATTTCCTAGTTAGCCTGAGTGTTGGACACATATGGAGACACTTTTTAAAATATTCCATCCAGTCCTTGTATTTGCAGAGGTCTCTGGTGCTAGGCTAGTGCATGTCAATGGCCATAGTTATCCTGCCACTACCCACTCCACAAAACACCTGAAGAAAATCTATTATTACGCCAGACTGTCGATGCAAATGTCTGTGCTGATAGAATAATGTTCGTCGCATGTTGAGGGACTATTTTCTCAGCAGCAGTGGAATTTTACTTAGCCGGACAGACAGGTGCTAGGTGATATCGGTCCGCCGCTGCCAAGCTTTCTATCAGGAAGTACAACTCACTGCTGCTACTTAGATATAAATCCTTCAAATGTAAGGTTGGGTTTACTTCTAAATTTATCCTATCAACACAGACATTTACATCGACAGTCTGGCGTAATAATAGATTTGCTTCAGGTCTTTTGTGGAGTGGGTAAGACTGTTTTTAGTGGCAGGCTAACTATGGCCATTGACATGCACTAGCCTAGCACCAGCGACCTCTGCAAATACAAGGACTGGGTGGAATATTTAAAAAGTGTTTCCACACATCTCCAACACTCTGGCTCAACAGGAAATGAGGTCTTATGTCCAAAATTCCGGACTGTCCCTTTAAACACATTCTTACAGCAGTGCAATTTCACATTTCAGACATTCCCACTTTCAAACCCACATTCACATACACATGCAATACAGTGTTTACAGGGGGGTACAACTTTGTTTTTTTTTTAAACAGAACCCCAGCCTCGAGGTGAACAGCTTTTTGGTTGGGGGTCCGTCACCTGCTTGTTTCTATCGATATGCCATTGCTTTGACTGAAATATTCCACAGTGTGACTCTAAACAGCTATACTTTACAATTCAATCACAGGCGTTTTTATACAGAGTTCTCCTGGTCATGGAAATCTTGGAAAAGTCATGGAAATTGAAAATGTCATTTTCCAGGCCTGGAAATGTCATGTAATTTTGTAAATTCAATGAAAGTTTTGGAAAAGTCATGGAATTTTAGTATCTCTTTTCACGCAACTTCAGCATTCTGTTCAGTTCTCATTAGGCTGTTATGATTATTTCTGAACATATGCGCCTTTTGTTTAAAAGAGACAACAATAAATGCATTCCACACATTTGGGTGCCGTAAATTCATGGAAAAGTTTTGAAATTTTGTCAGTGCAAAAGAGTGGGAACCCTGTTTATAGCTCAAAAATGAAAATAGGCGTTCTGACTGTGAGCAGGGTTGCCTCTCCACAGATCTGACTAGTAACTTCTGTCTGTCAGTCTGATTTGGTCTCTATGAAGATAGAAATACCATACTGACAATGTCATTCAATACCAATGCAGAAAAGCATATGACGAACCCTATGAATTTACACAGTGCTCTTCAGTTCAGGGGGTAGTGAGTTCCATAGTTGACCATAATGATATGAAAAAGCTGTAGGTTCTGCGCTGTGGGATTGTAGTTGGTGACTCTGTTGCTTGTTAGGTGGTGGTGGAGGATGTGGATGAACCCCCAGAGTTCCTCCAGCTGCCGTACGAGTGGAAGATCCCAGAGAACGCCGCACGGGGGACTGTGGTCGGGAGTGTCAGCGCAAGGGACACGGATATCGTAGACAGCCCCATCAGGTCAGTCAACTGAATGTGTAGGTATGTTTTTTTAAATACAGCTCTCTAATTTTGACTCAGTTTGGTGAGATAATACATGCTGTAAATCTAAATTATATTATGTTATTGTTTTTACACCAATGAAGATGTAATTTGTCAAGAAATTATGTCATAGCAGAACAAACAGAAGGTTACCAAGGTGAATACAGTCTGTACAATTTGAGTCCAAACTTGACTCACACCAATGAACAATGATTCTCAAAATGGAGTGGGATGGAGTGCATAAAGCATATAATGTACACACACACACACGTACCTATTTACATTTATTTACACTCACCTTAACACATGTAACAGTTATTTTTAAATACCAACAATAATAATCTGAAAATGTATGACTGCTCTCTTTGTATGAATATTATCTATTGAGATGGTTGTGGATACAAGGTCTTGTAGAAGTTTTCAGGTACTCCGTGGACTATAGATGAAGAGGTAGGAGACAGTCTTGTCTTATGCAGAAAAGGTTTATTACAAGTCACATTGGCCATGAGGACTTGAAGACACTCCCACACTTTACATTATCACACACGGTAATGTCTGTCGAAGGCCTGGTGATGCTTCCACACGAGAGTTTAAATAACCTCTACTGTGTGTCATACTGAAGGACATATTAGCTCAAGGCTAAACATGCTACACTGTTATAACTTAACTGTACAATCTGACCTTCATACACCTCATGACATAAGTTCTGTTATTCTCTAACATGAGAGTTCTATATTATTGTGAAATGGGGGAGAATGTTGTACACTGTTTTCTATAATATAGAATAGGACTATTTTTGATTCAGTCATGAACATTTGAATCATTTCTTGCATAATCTTTGTCTTCTCAAAATGCAAACTCCAAACTGCAGAGGTTTTTACACCATTATTAGCCCTTACATGTGGCCAAAGCTCATTGTCTTGTCAGATCTCTAGCTAATCCGCTCTGGGTCTGGTTAGTACTTGGTTGGGAGACCACTGGGAATATCAGGTGCCACAGGGGCAGAAAGTGTAGTTGTGTCCTTAGGCAAGACATTTCATCCACCTTGCCTAGTATGAATGTAGTGTGTGTGAGTGTTGGCTGTGGACAGAGGGGCAGCCAAAAAGTACTATATAAATCAAATGCATATTAATATTACATGCATTCTTACTGTGAGCAAAGAACCACTCCACAGATCTGGCTTGTAACTAAGGGCCTGTTTACACAAGAACACTTGCAGATAAAAACAACAATATATTTCATCGGATGTGCCTTTCGTTTAGACAGTGACAGCGTTTTTGGGGCTTAAAAACGCAAAAATCTGAAACCACCTCCAGAGTGGAAAAGTTGAATACACTCCGCCATAGTGTTTCCGTCTACACTGCCCAAGACGCAAAACTCTGGTCAGATCTGCTCATGCCACGTACACGTTTACGTCAGATACATCACCACCTAGCGTCACCACCTAGCCACCTGGCATGCATACCCAATCGAATTCCACACACGTTTGTGGCACCGTATGCACGCAGATTTCCTCCTGAAAACACTCGTCTAAACACGGAATAAAAAAATAAAAATTAAAAAAATAAAAAGTGAAGCCTTTGTGGTTGTCTTGTCAGAAAATTCCAGGCAAAGCAATAACATCTCCATGGAGAAAAGCAGGTGGTTGACCCTGCACCAGAAAGTTCATCAAAATAATGCATCTTTAACTGAGATTTGACACGTTTACATGGGAGCTTTAATTCCGAAATAAAAATCAATGCCACTTTAAAAAGACCATGTAAACACTTAATTGCTAATGATTGATGAATAAATGATTATTCGGAATTAAACTTAATTCAGAAGAAAGTGGGTGAAAGCCAAATTAATGTATTCCTTGATCATGTAAACGCTTATTCTTCTTAAAAATATTTCTGGTCGTGTAGCGTATGCTCGTGGGGTCGCCCTTCTGATGCGATGACGCACTGCAAGGTGGCGACCAGAGGTAAACTTTGGTCGCGAGCTGAAACTATTGTAATAACCCCTTAACGCCTAAATTTATGTAGATGTATATATTTTAAAAAATGTTTTGTGTTTGTGTTTTTGCCTTTAAGTAGAAGGTAAATTAAGTTGAGCTTATTAATTTGACTATAGCAAATTTGTGACAACTAGAAACAAGTGCTTGCCAAATGTTCCTAGGAAGGTACTGCATATGCTTTAACCAGCATTGGGGGAATGCAGCCGCTCTCTCCGTTTATATCTTGATTAGGGTGACCAAACGTTCCGTTTTCCACATCCTGGCCTGGCCGTCCGGGTTTTTATAATAAAGTGATGGAAGTGTTGGGGTTTTCATTACCTTTCATTGGGCCATTAAACTGAGCGGCTCTCGTAGCTCTCTGTGCACTCAGAAGGAGCGAGCAGATACAAACAGTCGGTCAGCCTGCAACATGCCGAAGCGCAAATGTGCATTTAACAATGACTTGCACTAGAAATTCCCTGCTTTCCGTCCCGGTCGACTGCCATGTGCACAGTGTACAAAGCAGGCACATATGTTTCGATGTCCAGTGGCGGTGCCAGGGACCTCAAAGCTCACCAGGACACTGAAAAATTAAGGTAAGAGTAGCTCAATGTCGATGACGAGGCCCCACCCCCCCGCCCCCGGTACAGTGTCCTGGTTTTCACAAACGGAAATATGGTCACCTTAATCTTGATCCAAATGGTTCATCGCTTATTTGTGACAATCAGCGTTGAGGGATTAATAAGTGCGCTGGAAGAACTACAAATCTACAAATAATAAAAAGAGTGGATCATTGGAATTGCGACAAACGTTTGGATCATGTTAGTGCCCAGGGCGTAATGACAAACAGAGATGACAAAAAGCCGGTAACAGCTGAAGTGTGTGTTTTCTTTTGGTCGACGTTAGGGGTGTGCAAAAATATCAAAATATCGATATATCGTATTCGTTTAATGTGATGATACAGTATCGATATCATGGGTTGCTGTATCGATATATCACCAAGAGTATTTTTTGTATATTTTACTAAATTATTTTGTTACAGTGCTACAGATTTGTTGCTTGTTTCGTGGAAGGAAACTCGTTTATGCGACACAATTGACATTTTTACTGTTTTGATGATTAAAGTGTTTGTGTTTCATATGAACTTTGGACAAGAAGTGGTTTAACAAAGACTTTTAGTATCACAGTCATGATTTAGCCTTTATTTTTTATTGAACCGCATTGAATCGATTTGAAATATATAGTACTGAATCGAAACTGTATTGCACTGTATCGAGATATGTATCGTATCATGGCCTTTGTATCAAAGTATGTATCGTATCGGCAACTTCTTAATGATACCCAGCCCTAGTCGACGTAAATACTTCTTCTTCTTGTCTCTGTCTAATCAGAACCCTTCTCAACACCCAGACGTTGAGCGGAATTAAATAAAGGCGATTCAACGTGTTTTAATTTTAATTCTGAACTATTTCATTCAGAACAATTAATACTGCATTAAAAAACGTCATGTAAACGTGGCCTGTGTGTCGCATATTTGGATTGTTACACCCGTACGTGAGCGGTGCATACTGAACTCATGATGCTGTGGTTAATTGAGATTCGGGGCGGGGGCTGTGTTTGGCAGAGACGGCTCCACTGGCTCTGACACCGTGGACAGGCCCGTCAGGTGACGCTCCTCCCCGGCAGACGGCACCGAGACTGGCATGTGCCACCTGTCTGCCAGCATGAGAATGACGAGCGGCCCCACCGAGAAGAAGAAGAGCGGGGGAGGGACGGGACGGGACAGAGTGTGACGGAGGGGGAGATAGGCTAGACAGAGGGAAGAGAGGAAAGAAAAAAAGACAAAGACGGGTGAGAGAGGGGGGTGGGAGGAGCAGGGAGAAGGGTGAGAGATGGGGAGAGGAGGAAAGAGGCAAGCGGAAGGGTGGGTGGGAGAGTGAGGAGGGTAGGGAAGAGAAAAAAGAGAGGGAAGACAGATGGAGAGAGAGAAAGTGGAGAAGAATGTGAGGGGGGATTGGAGAGAGGGGAGAAAGAGAAGAAAGAGGGTAGAGAGAAAGGAGAGAGAAGGGAAACAGGGGGAGAGTGAGAAAGGGGAATAGGAGCGAGGGATGTGGGGTAAAGATGGGAAAGAGATGGGAAAGAGAGATAGGGAGAAAGATGATAGAGCGAGATAGGGGGAAAAGAAGGGGGAGAGAGATGGAAGAGAGCGATAGGGGAGAGAGATGGGAGAAAGAGAGAGAAAGGAGGGGGAGACAAATGGGAAAGAGATGGCGAGAGAGGGGAGAGAGAAAAGCTGGAAGAGAGAGACAGGGAAGAAAAAGAAGGGAGAGATGGGGAGAGAGATGGGGAGAGAGATGAGAAAGAGAGAGAGAGAGATAGGGGAAAAAAGAAGGGAGGGAGATGGGAGAGAGATGGAGAGAGGGGAGAGAGATGGCAAAGTTATGGGAGAAAGAAATGGCGAGAGAGGGGAGAGAGATGAGAAAGAGAGAAGGGGGAGAGAGATGGGAGGGAGTAATGGAGAGAGAGAGAGAAGGGGAGAGAAATGATAAAGTGATGAGAGAAAGAGATATCGAGAGAAGGCAGAGAGATAAAAAAAAGTGAGATGGGGAGAGAGAGAAGGGGGAGAGAGATGGAAGAGAGAGATAGGGGGAAAAGAGAAGGGAGAGAGTTTTGGGAGCGAGATGGAAGAGAGCGACGGCGAAAGAAATGGGAGAAGGAGATGAAAGAGAGAGAAGGGGGCGAGAGACGGCAATAGAAGGGGGGAGAGAGAGATGGAGGAAAGAGATGAAAGAGAGAGATAGGGGAGAGAGAGATGGGGAGGAGAAATGGGAGAGACAGATACAGGAGAAAGAAAGGAGAGAGAGAGATGGAAGAGTGAGGTGGGGGAGAGATGAGAGAGAGAAAGAGATGGGAAAAGAGATGGGAGTGAGATGGAGAGTAAGAGAAGGGGGAGAGAGAGAGAGAGAAGGGGAGAGAGATTGGAAAGTGATGGGAGAAAAAGAAG